CAATAGCACATTACATATATATATATATATTCATGAATAAGTAAGATGTTATAAATATAAAAAAAGTGTAAGACTTGGATGGTAGATATGTAAATACATAGAAAATATGTGGTATGTTTGCAAATCCTTCATTTAATTTAATTATTTTTGACTTGTCTTAATTAATATGACACAAAAGCAAGGAGAAGAGCCTCATTAATATTTATAATAACCCTATGAAAGCTCCATGATATCAACCCTATTTGTACTAAATGTAGAAGCATGACTCTGTGTGAAGTGGGGCCCATTGATTCTAACTTTTATTTGCATTTCACCCCCTAGACATAAGAAATGAATTATTTTAAGAAATGTTTAAGATATGAAAATGTGTTTTAAACTATGAAAAATAGGTTTTTTATGTAAATAAGCATAACTTTAGAGGGTAAAATTTAACAAAGATAGCAAAAAAAAATTAAATTTTATAGGAGTTTGAATGAAATTTTAGGTAAAAAGAAAGTTTAGGTGTAAATTATATCTTGCATCTAACTCATAGCAATAGGACAAAACTACATAGATTATATATGAAAGATGACTTTCTACTATCACTCTATACAATCCTCTAGTTGAAATTGCATACCACTAATTTCTCTTGCAATATTGTGGGATAAGATCTATTTTAATAATATATCTATTAGGTGCCCTCAACATTATTCTCATAATATGTGTTCCTCTAAGCGTGCCTCTTTGTCATCTTCTAGCGTTGCAATGGTTGAACAAGTTTGTGATAATGACTAAAATTTAAGTTGGCAAGTTAGGATCGATGATATGTATCTCAATGATCGACCACCCTTCATCAATCAGTTCCACACTCTAGTCACATCGACCATCTGTAGTCCACTTGATCGATCAACCGCCACCAACATAATCATATCGATCAAGCATAGGCTGCACATCCCGACTCTATAGACAATATTCGGTCCACTAGATCAATCAGCCGCCACCGGTCAGTTCACATTAATTGACCATCATTCATCGATCGACCACACATTTTGGCTTGGTCGGCTATATGTTTATTGACCCGATCAATCGGCCGCCATTGGTCCGATCAAGTCGATCATTTGCAGTTAGTAGGTTGCATTTGTTGGATTATTTTCACAATGTCTGCATTATAACATTTACACTCGCACACCCTCGTGCACTTAAGAGCATACGCCCTCATATGTTCATGAGGAGTATTCATGCATCCCAATAGCACATTACAATATACAGTTACTTTGCATCATGAATATCCACCGATCATTACGTCGTCCGTTGATGAGATACATAACTGCTTGACACGAGGGTTGGTCATCCAAATATAAAAATTTCCTGGTGTAACTGCCCCTAAGTTTGGAATTAACACGTTGCTCCTCTGAATTTTCTCTATTTTTTAATTATGTCATCACAGCAAAGTGTAAGACTTCAGAGATGAATGCTTACCTCGGATAGTTTTCTAAACCCTAGAAATTAGTAAAAATAATGAGGTTTCTCAGATCGCTGCTGCTTCTTCTACTTCTTCTTCTTAATCTTCTTGTTGTGACCCAACTGGAAACCCTAATCTTTAACCCTTCTGAGTCCATTCTCAAGGAAGAAAGTATGATCTCTTACCATTTCCCTCTTTTTGCTGATTCATGAGCTTCAAAATTTCATCTTTTTGACTTTTTAATCTTCAAAATTACATCTTGATTCGATTCATGACTTTTTTTTTTGCACTTTCAGCACCCAAAGCTTTGAATCCGGCCGTATCCAAAAAAGCTCTTAGAAAGCTAGCTGAGTGGAGTAGCCTGTGATTACTCTGTAAGAAATAATCTCTATCTTCTACTCCATCAAAGAAGATGAATAAATATGTTTTATTTCTCTGCTAATTCTGCTTTTTAAAAAGTTGAAAGATGAATTTTTTTTTTATTTCTGCCATCAAGTAATTTTTTTTTTTTTTGGTTTTCTTCATTGTTTTAGAGGGTCTGAATTGTGCTCAAGGTTTGTTTTATCAATAGTGATGATGCTGCTGAAAAAAAAATTAATGATAAAAATGACAGGATGGTCCCTGATTTTTTGCAGGGGTAGTTTAATCTGAGAGTTTATGAAGTATCATCTTAATCCCGAAGTGTTTTTGGGTGCATTTACTTACAAACCTTCCTATTCTTATTTATTTACATATCTATCGCCTATATTTTTTTACTTTTTACATTTATATCACTTAAATCTTTCATATCATCTAAAAAAAAATCACTTTTTTAACTTTAAAAGAAGAAGTGAAGTGTACCTTCTTATGCATAGGTAAAATGATATATTTGTCAAAATTCAAGTTTAAGAGCTGTATGAGTTCTTTCTGTCAAGTGCTAAGTTGCAATTTAATGATCTTTTTTCTGCAATTTCATAATTTTTTTTTCCTCTGCAGAATTTCAGACAACAATCTGTTCTTTGAGACAAATCAGCAGGTTTTAATGCTTTGAACCAACTTCCTATAATTTAAGATAACTCTTTGTTTATGGTTCAGGTTTGTTTCTCACAGTAACTCATTTTCCTTTTTTTTCTTGGGCAATTTGCATATTGAACACCTAAACATTCATATTTGCATGCATACCACTCAAAGCTCTAATATCACATCAAAATATCATCATGATTATCTTTTTAAAACTGAAAGATACATTTTCATGCATAAATTTATGACATCAAGGTGTTATAAGTGTAAATATCAAACTTGGGGTGTTAGAAATGTAAATACATAAGAATTATGTGGTGTGCATGAAAATGTCCCCTTTTTTCCTTTTTTTTTGGAAGATTAACAAACAAAACTCAATTCTTATGTATTCATATATCTAACAATTTAACTTTAATTTTTACATAGATGCCGCATCACCTAAAGCGTATTTCACTTTTTTTCCTTTACATACATTCCGCCCGCTTCTTATGTATTTACATATCTAATACCTAAACTTTGCAATTTTTACATAGATGCCGCATTACCTAAAGCGTATTTCACTTTGTTTCCTTTACATACATTCCGCCCGCTTCTCATGTATTTACATATCTGATACCTAAACTTTGATTTTTTACATTTATACCACCCAAATCCTTCGTACCACCATACCACATAAAAAAATACCACTATTTTATCCTTTAAAAAGTGAAATACACCATGTATAGATAAGATGACATAGATGTAAAAATTAAACTTCAGTGTTAGATATGTAAATCTTCCTTTCCTTCTAGGGACTTTTTGTATTCATAGTTTACTCTAGTTGAAATGCTTATTCCTTTTTGCAGAAATGTCTGTGAAAAGCCAGAAAATTGCAGAGGAGGCTTATGAGCAATCTAATGGCAGGACTAACCATCATAGTCTACATGAACCATTGTGGCTTATAATTCTAGAAACAATTACTGCTGCTGCTCTTGTTGTTTTCTTAGTAATCTGCATTGTTCATACCATTAAAAGATGCAAATCAAAGTCAAAGTTCGCAATCCATCGGATGAGAACACAAACGACGAAGGATCTTGAATCAATATCTATTGGTTTGTCCTTTCTTCTATTCTCTTAAATAATGTTTCTTTTGGGGGTTTTGACATACATTACATTCAAAATATTAGGATTTACATTTTAACGCCATAACTTCATTATTTACATACATAATGATGAGATTTGGAATAAAGCTACATAATATTATTGATAGAAGTTAGCGTATTTAAATCATATTGCAATGGATACAATAAATGAAAGCAATAAAACATGATAAAACAAATAGGGAGGAAATAAAACAAAATAAAATAAATAAGAATGACATAATGAGGGAATAAAATTAATAACAAGTAATAAATCAAATACTCTCTCTTAAGTTGAAGCATAGATGTAAGTCATGTTCAACTTGGATTGAAGTTTATGAACAAAGGATGAGGAAGATTCTTGGTGAGGATGCCCGCTAGTTGAGCACTAGAGGGTATAAAAATAACACAAAATAAATAAGTGTCTATCAATCTCCACAATCTTGGTATGATCATGCTGGATTAGATTGTGAGATCAATCTCCACAATCTTGGCATGATCATGTTGGACTAGATTGTGAGCAATGTTGATTGTGGCTTTATCATCACAGAATAACTGCAACGGGACAGATGTTGAAATATAAAATTCGTGGTGCATGATGCATAACAAGAGAGCTTCACAGAATCCCAATGACATGAACTGAAATTCAGCTTCAACACTGCTCCAGACAACTATAGATTATTTTTTGCTTTTCTACATGACAAGATTGCTCCATATAAATGAACAATACCCCGAGTTGAAATGTCGATCATGAACCGATTCAACCCAATCGACATCTGTATAAACAACAATAGATCGAGATGTGCAACGGGAGAAAAAACAAACCTGGGTCTCTTATAACTTTTAAATAGTGGAGAATCTGGTGGATAACTTGAAGATGGTGCTCATAGGGGTCATGCATGAATTGACTCACTATACCATCTGCGTGGTATATATCGGGGTATGGACAAGGTAAATGAGTTGTCCTGCCTCGAGGAAAATCTATGATGTCCCATTTATGTTTTCACTAAAGAGCGTTCGTCTCCTCCATTGCAATTGTTCTCCAAGCTGGATCAACAAGAGCAACTCAATAGTAGCAAGGATCTGATGGTCCGTCAGGGCTGTAGAAAATGCTCTATAGGTCGGTGATAGAATGTGGAAATAAACATATTTTACCATAAAATAGAGACAATATTTTTTATTGTGTACCTTAATAAAAAAATTTATTTCTCCATTTGGAAGAGGGCTCATGCTGAGGATGTTGCTCGGAGTGGAGTCAAAGTCTTGTGAGGAGTTAGTGTCTCCATCGTAGGAGCATTAGGACGGGTGCGCCGAGTGTAGACACTGGCAGTGGGAGGAGGAGATGGTTTACTCAACAAAAGAGGGTATTCTTCAACGACATGAACAATGAGGGGAATATTCATAAGAGTAGGATAAGTGATATTGTCAGAGAACTCAAGCTTCCGCTCACTTGAGGCCGATTTAGGAAAATATAGAACACTTTCAAAGAAAGAGACTTAGCACACATATATAGTTTGTTGGTGGTGCGATCAGGACATCAATACCTCTTTTGAGTTACAAATACTCAAGGAAGATACATTTTATGGATTTGAGATCAAGTTTATTCCGAATGGGGGCAGTGTTCCGAACAAAGACCGTGCCCCAAAAAATCTTGGGATCTAATGTGGAGAAAACCTGATTGGTTGGGAAGCATGACATTGGGATAGATAAGGGGGTTCGAAACTTATGAATTTTAGAGATGACTGTGTTTATGAGATGGGTTACAGTCAAAATAGCATTATTCCAAAACCGTTTTATGATATTATATTGAAAGATAATGGAGCAATAGAAAACCTGATTGGTTGGGAAACATGACATCGGGATAGATAAGGAGGTTCGAAACTTATGAATTTTAGAGATGACTCTGTTTATGAGATGGGTTACAGTCAAAATAGCATTGTTCCAAAATCGTTTTATGATATTATATTGAAAGATAATGGAGCAAGAATTGCTGAGAAGGTGATGATTTTTTCTTTCGGCTATTCCATTTTGTTGAGAAATGTTTATACATGAAATATGATGATGGATATCCTTACTTATCAAGAATTTACTCAAAATAGAGTTAAAAAACTCTGGACCTTTGTCGGTCCAAATGACCTAAATGAGAGTTTTGAATTGAGTATAACAAAGGTATAGGAATTTCGGAAAGTGAGAACAACTTCTGATTGCTTTTTAAAATTTAAAATCACACATTCGAGTGTGGTCATCAATTAATGTCAGGAACCATTGTTTATTGGTGTAGCTGGAAGTACAAGAGAGTTCTCATATGTTTTTCTGAATGAAGCAGAAAAGAGTGAAATGTGTGTAAGTGTGAGGCGGATAATGAACCCGGTGATGCTTTACTAACTGAAATGTCTCACAACTAAAGTTTGAAAGATTTTTATTAAAAAATCTCAAAAAATACAAATTTTTAAATATTGAAAACTAGGATGACCCAAACAATAATACAACAATATAATGAGATATTCAATGGCTTGAGATATGTTACAACTTCTAAATGGTGTGTCCGACTCTTTGTGCTCTCTACTTGGAAGTATTAGAATTTAACTATCCTCTTAGCAGTTCTAATCTTCCTCCCCGATTGACAATCCTAGAAAACACAACCATCAGAAAAGAAATTAGCAACACAATAGATATCATTTATCAACTTCCTGACAGATAACAAGTTACATTGTAATAGAGAAACATGTAAAACAGGCTTCAAAGTTAGGCTGTTTGTTAGTAAAACCAATCTTTTACCAGCAATAAAACTACAAGAGTTATCAACAATTTTGGCTATATCTTTCTCAGAGCACGAATAGTAAGTTGAGAAATCTTGTGTACATCCAATCATGTAATCCGTGACACCTGAATCAATAATCAACGGACTAGAGGAGGAATAAATCGAGAGTCATAGGAAGGGTACCTTGTCAGATTTAAGAGGTCAATGGATCTGCAGAGACTTGATTGACTCCAAGATGTTTGATCAATTACTAGATTTAGTTTTTCAAAGATTCAGAGGATTTCTGGATGTTTTGGGCAGGGTCGCTTGAGTCATGTTAGGCTCACACATCGCCGTGAGACCCTTTGGTAGTAGAAGATTTGGTTGAAGGTTTATATGTCGGGTTATCGTGAAGTTTCCAACACTTGTTTCGAGTGTGGTTTGGTTTGTGACAACAATTGCAAGTGGGGTGATCGGTCTGAGATGTTATGAATGTGGATTGAGCACTTTTTGCGATCAAGCAGACGATTCAACTAAAGAAGTAAAATTGCCGAGCATGACAAATCTTCGGCTTTCTTTTTGGCAAATTTCAGTGAAAGCTGTGTGAACGGAAGGAAGAGGATCCCGATCAAGAATACAATCCCAGAACTAAAGAAGTAAAATTGCCGAGCATGACAAATCTTTGGCTTTCTTTTTGGCAAATTTCAGTGAAAGCTGCATGAACGGAAGGAAGAGGATCCCGATCAAGAATACAATCCCAGAATTCGTCAAGGTCTTTGTTAAGGCACGTCAGGAAGTGGAACATGTGATTCTTTTTTACAATCTTCTGGAAGAGGAATAGGTCGGCTGGAGAATCCTAAGTGTAGTCGTAGTACGGGTCACATTCCATCCATAGTGCAATAAGGTCATTGTAGGATTGGGTCACAGTCCCTGGCTCTTATTTTGCCTCTCGGATTTTCTTAGATACCTTGCATAATTGGCCGGAATTTTCTACATCCGAGTAGATATCACGAACAGTCGTTCAGAGAGCTCTACCTGAAGGGAGGTATATATATATGAAAGATCAATTGAAGTCTCAATGGAGTTGATCAGCTACAATATGACCGCGAAGTTCTTCGCTTCCCAAGCTCCTTATGTTGGGTCAGTCTTTGGAGGCTCATGAACCATACTTGTGAGATAACCAAACATCCCATATTCTTTGATTAACAAAGACACTGTTTGGGACCGTTGTAAAAAGTTAATGCCGTTTAGTTTATGGGTTGTAATTAAGAAATTCATGTTGGTTTCCACTCCTCAAGTCTGCAAGAGAGTGAAAATTGGAGTTGATCCTCCAGTGGAATCAAAAACACTTTCTGAAGATGATTCAGAGTTGGAGGAATCTGCCATAATTTCGACTGAGCCAAAGGAGATGTTGTAGTTCCGAGCCATCAATGAATTCCAGGGTCACAACAGATTGCTATAACTGCAGGTATTTTGACACTTGCAAGGAACTACAGAGGAAACAGAAAAAAATCTGCGGCTGCTGCTGGAAACAGGAGAAGCCATGCGATTGCTGCTGGAAACAGAAGTACCAGCGCCTGTAGAAACTGCGGTTGCTGCTTCTTCTTGTAGAAACCTGCGGAAATCTGTGGCTGTAGCGACCTTCGGAAACCTGCTGCTATTGGAAAGGCAAAAGGCTGCGCTTGCAGAAGAGGGCTGCTGGAACAGCCAGAGGAGGCCGGCGGTTAGGTGGCGGTTGCTGGAACCGACAGAGGAGGCCGACGGCTTCGGATTTAGGGTTAGGTTCTGGTTCCATGATGAAATTTGGAATAGAATAGTATAATATTATTGATTGAAATAGGGCCATCTAAACCCAATTACAATGGATGCAATAGAAGAAAAAAATAAAACAAATAGAAAAGAAATAATGAGGGAATAAATGCTAATAACAAGTAATAAATCTAATACGTAACATTCAAAATGTTCTTCCTTCTATTCTTTTAAATAATGTTTCTTTTTGGGGGATTAACGTACATAACATTCAAAATATTAGGATTTACGTATTTAAAACCAGAACTTCATTATTTACATCATCTAACATTTTGTTAACTCTAGTAATGAGTATCATCGAATGCTCAGTAGATGAGGCTGAGTAGCATGGGGGATGAGGCCAAGTATGATTTATCCTGGTCAATTATGATTAAGCGAGACCGATTAGGATTAGGGATGAGGCCAAGAATGGTCATGACAATGACGAGTAGGATCACGAATAAAGCCGACTAGGAATAATACGAGACTAAAATGTATTTGAGAAGAGGCCGATTGGGATCAGACACTCATTGAACAGTTGTCAAATTAGGGGTGATTGGAATCAGATGGCTCAGGGATGAAATGAGTTAGAGAGGGTGCTATTTTTTATCTTATTTTCATGTTTAGAGTGTTATCTATGTAAATAGCAAAATATATAACAGGGTATTTGCATAATTACCAATAAATTTCTAAGTATTTGCATATCTAACACTTAAACTTCATTTGTTGGTGCAATTACATACATATCACACAATTCTCATTTATTTACATATCTAACATCTAAGCATTCATATTTATATGTATATCACTCAAATTCTTTACATCACATCAAAAGTACCGCCACCATTATCTTTTTAAAAGTGAAATACATTTTTTCATACATAAGTTTATGACACCAAGGTGTTATATGTGTAAAATATCAAACTTTGGGTGTTAGATATGTAGATGATTGTGTGGTTTTTATGTAAATTTCCCTTCTTTTTTACATTTACACCACACAACAACAAAAATACTACCATTTTAACTTTTAAAATGTGAAATACACCTTTTCAAGCATAGGTATGGCGGTATGTATGTAAAAGCTGAAGTTTACGCGTTACATATGTAAATACATAGGAATTGAATGGTATTGGTATGCATGTAAAACTTCCATATATAGATTTTAATAATTTACATCCATGAATGTTAATCCCCTTATTTCTTTTTCTATTATTTCATGATTTTGCTATTACGAATACTAATCAGACCAATTCTGTATTTACAGATGATGGATTTCTGAAAAATGCTTTAGTTTATAGCCGAGAAGAACTCGAGCAAGCTTGCGAAGATTTCAGCAACATTATTGGATCTTCGGCGAACAGTAAAGTTTATAAGGGCACTATAAAGGATGGTTCTGAAATTGCTGTAATATCTCTTTCAGTATCAGCTTCTCACTGGCCAAGCTATCTTGAGCTTGGCTTTCAGAAGGAGGTATAAAGATTGAAATGTTGGAAAAACAATTAAATATGTTGGCCTACATATTTAATTGAATGTTTGTTATATGTTATTTTAAAATTTATCCCTGTTTAAATTGTTCTAAATAGTATTAATGCAATCGGATTTTGGGTATAAAATAAAGGGGTAGTTATATACATCGCATCCGAAACATTGTTATTTACAAAACCTAGTATGTTTTTGAACTATCAAGTCGATATATTTATTTGTGCCATGATCAGACCATTGCGACTTTGATAAAAATGAAAAACATGTTTCGGGGTTTTACCATGAATTTTGATATTTGAGTGAGAATTTGAAAAATGGATTAAAGAGGGTGGTTTATTTGTAAATAGCAAGTTTCGGGTGGTCTGTATATAATTGCCCCTTTAATAAAATATGTAATAATTATGTTTGGAGACTTAATTTCATATTTGAAGTTATGTAATGAGCTAAAAAAATTATGATGATGTATGATAAGATGCAATCATTCAAAAAGAAATAATGTTATTTCAGATAAGATGCATTCTTTTAGAAAATATATGATCTTTAACAGATATTAAGTATGATTATTGTTGTTGTTCTCTTCCTATCTGACTTCCCATCATCAGAAGAATATATAGATTCTTCTCAAGGGAAAATTACATAAAAGTCCATTTATATTGTTTGACTCAGAAGAATCTTTTACACCTCAGGTAGAGAACTTGGCAAAATTAAAACATGAAAACATATCAAAACTTATTGGTTATTGCGAAGAGAATGAGCCATTTTCAAGAATGTTTGTCTTCGAGTATGCATCCAATGGGACGTTGTATGAGCATCTCCACTGTAAGTATGTTGCTTCGTTTCGGTGCCTGCTGAAATGCTAACGGTTTGTTTAAAAAGTCAAAATCAGAAGTGATTCTAACTGACCCATAACTTTTATGACATTTTGTGCTTGACGATTTGACTTTGCATCTCTTCGAAACCATAGATGGTGATGCAGGTCTGCTTTCCTGGCTCAGACGAATGAACATCGCGATTGGCGTTGCTCGTGGACTCAGATACTTGCACACTGAAGTGCAGCCTCCATTCGCAATATCTGAACTCAACTCTAATGCAGTATATTTGACGGAGGATTTCTCTCCAAAGGTTTGTTTAAATATTGTTAAGTTTGTTTTTTTGCAAAATGTATATTGTTGACTCAGTATCAACATTATAAACATATGAAAGTTTAGGTTCATCATGCTAAAGTGCTCATTATTATTCTTAATAGAAGCTGAAAAAATGCAGTGTTCTCACTTTCTATTATATTCATTATCTATGCGAAAAATGTCAAAATGATCCCTTTAGTCTCATCATCTATTAAAATGCAAAATTAGTCTTTAGATATTTTTAATATAAGTTGAAATAATACCTAATTTTTTTTAAGAGAGGATTTTTTGATACCCTATTATATGAGTTTGGAGACTATTATGACATTTTCATAAACTCCGAGGCTAAAATGCTCACTTTTCTCATAATCGTATAAATGAAATCAAGTAAAGCGGCAAAATAGTCCCCTGACTATTTACATGGAATCCTTTTAATCCCTGAGTTTATAAAAATGTTAAAGTAGTCTCAAAACTATTTTAATGGGAGTGAAAATAGTCCTCACTTGAGATTATTTCAATTCATATTAAAAGAATATGGAGACTAAATTGACAATTTTATCAACTCTGAGATTAAAATGCCCCCCTGTTAAAAGTCATAGGATCATTTTCTCAAATGAAAATTCTATAAAACAAATGAATTTTAAGATTCCTTTTTTTGTAATTCTTTTTTGTAGTTGGTTGATTTTGAAAGATGGAATACTATTGTTTCAAGATCAGACAATGCCTCAGGCTACTTATCTAATGGAAGCTTATTTAATGGCTTTCTTGAGCCTTCAGAGACATGGGATGTGGATGTGAAAGGTAACACATATGCCTTTGGGGTGCTCTTACTAGAATTAATAAGTGGAAGATCTCCCAATTATAAAGACAGATGCAGCATTGTAGATTGGGTAAGGATTTTACCAATTGCAACCACCTTAATATTTTCTAATTCGAAGATTTACATTCATACCATTCAATCTTTATGTGTTTACATACCTAACACCTATACTTAAATCTTTTACATAAACATCTCTTTATCCTTGCATGGAATGTGTATTTCACTTTTTTAAAGCTAAAGTATTGATATTTTTTATGTGATATGAAAGATTGGGATGTAACAAACTTAAAAAGTAAAGTTAGGTGTTAGATAGGTAAATGCATGGGAATTGGATGGTATGTATGTAAATGCCCCTATTTTCTAATTGGAAGATTTGCTTACATTTATATTTCTCAATTCATTTGTGTGTATATGTATGTATATATATATATGTATATATATATATATAACACCTAAACTTCAACTTTTACATACATACCATTTTATTCATGCATGAAAATATGTATTTTACTTTTTAAAAGTTAAAAGGATGCTATTTTTTAATGTGATATTGTTGAATCCATTTGGGATGTTGGTTCCTCTATCGTCTGTGGGTTATAAAACTTAAGAGATTTGTGTAGAGAGGGTGAAAGAAGATGTTGAAGGTGTTTTCAAGCCCGAGCTCTCCGTTTCTCAGATGATTCTCCTTCGGTAGGTCATAATAGGAGATGATCTAATCTCTCACTAGAGGTGAAAGAAAAAAAGAAGGGGGGGGGGGGGGGGAGCGGGGGGAGAGGGGGGGGGGAGGGACAAGAGATAGAGAGAGAGAAAGAGAGGCCCGGGGATTGATCGTCCTCCTCTTTTGGCTGCCCCCCTCCCTAAATGCATAAAGGGCAAAAATTATAGAATTATGAACCTTACAGTACGAAATCTATCGCCGGTGTTTTGCTGAAAGATCGTGATGCGAATGTCATGCAGCTCATTAATGATGATGAAGCATGTATTAATCTCTTTAAATCTGGTCCTTACTTCGGATATCTTTCAATTTCGAGGATCACTGGCCTGTGTGAACTTGGCGGATGGTTCCGACAAGTGTATCAACTTCTTGGAAAGTGATAGCTGGAACATCAATCCTTCAGATCAATCCATCGGGTGGAATCTAACGAGGTATGAAATGGGCCTGATGATGGGCCCAAAAATGGTGGTTCTTTAGATGTATATTAGTTGGGAATTGGTCCAAGAAAGAGCATTTATTACATTATAGGCCCATGGTGACTATTTATCTGTATATATTTAGTTTTTTGATTCTCTAGTTCCTTCGATAAGTTGCTACACGAAGAATATGAGAATAAAAGATATATATATATCGGTAGTCATAAAGTCTTTTAGAGCGTGAACTCCCTGTTATAAACTATATTACGAAGGTTGTAGGTTTCTTCTATAAACTCAGCTCTCTTCCTCGATATCATTTTGCGATCTCTTTATCCCTTGATCGTCAATGATGAATAGACTCACCGTTGAGATGATAAATGGTTCCTTTGCGAGAACTGTTGATAGTCGTCCTGTGTAGAAGATAAAGGAAAAGTCGGTTTGAAGAGGAGAAAACAAAGAAGAGGGGCAAATTGTATATTGAATAAGGAAAGGTTGAGGAAGGGACTCCCTAATATTTCCGCAGAAAATGCTAAAATTTTGAATCTTGCGATGTTGTTGCCATAGCGTAGAGCTTGTATGTTGGGAGGAGTTCATGTTGATATAAATAATCAATGCTCACCGCATTTTTCAGGATGTTGAATTTTCTTGTGACGTATTTTTCAGGATGTTGAATTTTCTTGTGACGTTGGATCTCGTATCATCTGTGGGTTGTACAACCTGAGAGAGATCTTTGTAGTGAGGTTGAAAGAAGAGGATGGAGTTGTTCTTCAATTCCGAGCTCTCCGTTTCTCTGATGAATCTTCTCCACCAGGTTGGAATAGATGATCAAATCTCTTACTAGAAATGGGAGAAGAGAGAGAGAGAGAGAGAGGCCCCGAGGATTGATCATCCTCCTCCTTTGGTTGCCTCTCTCATTAAATACATAAAAAGATAAATAATAAAAATTATGAACCGTACGACACAAAATCAATCTACGGTGTCTTGCTAAAATGATTGCGGCACGGATGTCAGGTGGCTGATCCATGATGATGGAGCTTGTGTCAATTCCTTTAACGCTGATCCTTATGTTGGCTATTTGTCGATTTTGAGGATCACTAGTCAGGATGAATTTTGTAGATGGGTCTGACGAGTGTATCAGCTATTGGAAAAGTGATAGCAGGAACTTCAATCTGGCAAGTCAATCCGTCTGGTGGAAGATTTACAGAGGTGAAATATTTGGGTAGTATAAATATAAAAAAATAAAGTTTAGGAGTTAGATATGTAAATATATAGGAATTTGGTGGTATGCCCGCAGATTCCCCCATTTTCGAATTGGAAGATTTACATACATTCTACTCCATTCTTATAGATATACATATCTAACACCTAAACTTCAATTTTTACATGCATATCACCTTACCCATGCATGAAAATGTTTTTCTCCTAAAAGTTAAAAGGGTGGTACTTTTTATGTGATAGGAATGATTTCCGTGGCATAAATGTAAAAAAAATAAAGTTTAGGTGTTAGATTTGTAAATACATAGGAATTGGGTGCTAACTATGTAAATGCTCCTATTTTCTAATTGAAAGATTTAAATATATATGGAACACCTAAACTTCAATGCTTACTTGTAAGCTACTTTACTCATGCATGAAAAGGCGTATTATATCTTTTAGAAGCCAAAATGTTGATGTTTTTGACGTAATATGAAAGATTTGGATGGTATAAATGTAAAAAACAAAATTTACTGAAACAAGTATATAGATAATTTTAATAAATGCAGCTATACTGAATTTGCAGGCAAAAGATTTTCTGCAAGACCCCAACAAGATGAGAATGTTAGTAGATCCAGAAATGAAGAATGTGAAGATTGAAAACCTCTCAGTTTTGTGCAGTGTGATCAGCCTCTGCACCGATCCCGAGCCGTCGAAGCGGCCGTCGATGCAGATATTATGTGCAATGTTGGAGGACGGCGTCGACGCGTCGGTCGACACTGTTCTTAGAGAGTCTTCTCTGGCATGGACTGAGCTTGTTCTCCCAATTTAGTTCAGATTTCCTGATTCAAACACAGGAAATGGTTGATTCTATCTTGAAAACTGCTGAAAATGCAAATTCAGAAAAGCTTGGGGGTCTGCCTGAGAATTTGCAATGCCACTCAATTCTTATGTGTTTACATATCTTTCTTGAAATCTTATTTATACATGAAAAAAGTGTATTGCAGTTTTTAGAAGTTAAAATAGTTATATTTTTTATGTGAGTGAAAGATTTGTGTGGTGTAAATGTAAAAAAA